ATTATATATATGATTCGTAAATTTTGTGACCCAGCATAGGCATTTTCATGGTGTCCGAAAAGTTTTTTCCTTGTCAGTAGCCACCTGTTTATTATGTCACCTTTATCCTGCACCTTTTATGGAGCAGTAGATGATAGCCTATGTCACTTTCCTCAGGACAAATGTAAGGCCTTTTCTTTTACCAAAAAAATGTTACATTGCAGGATGCAATGTCATGATAGCTTCCAGGAAGCTGGAACGTCTTGAAGAGGCTGCTAAGGACATGAGGAAATGGCTTTCTGAAACTGGAAGGAAAAACAGGCTGGAGTTTATGGTGTGCAACATCCGCAAAGTGGAAAGTGTATGTTGTTTATTATATTTCTTCTACTTAGCTATTTTCCTCTTTTAATTTCATCTTTCACTTTCTCAAATGGCTTAACTTGTTTGCTTTGGAATTTTTTACTCAGTCTGGTCTGACCTTGTTTTTTCCAGGAACTTTAAATGGTATACATATTATATAATAGAGTGCATCTATTAGACTCTTCAAAGCCAAAGTGTGAAGTCATGAACTATGAACATTTTTTTGGAAAATATATTTTGATTCTATAATCGATATTCTTCACTTTGCTCACCTTTTGTTTTGTCTCCTGCCAAATCACCACTTTTTGTTCAAAGTTTTGGAAAGGTCAGTTTCACAGGTGAAGGCGGCAGATCTTTGTTGTTAATTTTTATGACCACAAAAATGTTGCTTCTCTGTTTTCAGTGGTAGATGTGGTAGGGATAAGCTTTACGACTTGGGTGGGTAAATGAAACCTTAAAAGATCCCAGACTGATATGCTCCTATTCATTTTCAGGTCCAGGAACTTGTATCTACTTCATTGAAAACTTTTGGTAGACTTGACTTCCTGGTAAATAATGGTGGAGGCCAGTTTATCAGTCCGTCCGCCGACATTTCTCTCAAAGGTTTCACAGCAGTTGTGGAAACCAACTTGACTGGAACATTCCTCATGTCCAAGGAAGGTGAGACTGGGAGGGCTGGACCATACAGTTACAATTTGTCATTAATGGCACCAATGGTGTAATAATTAAAACTTCCCACTTTGCCAGAAGTTATTATCTTATTTTCATATTAAAAGTATTTTACAGTTTCTCTTTTTTTAGAAATCCTAGTTATCTTACAGTAGGCAGGGCTGACACTGACGGTGACAGACTGCGTGAAAGCAGCCCACATGTATATTTATGGTCTAACTCTGTGCTTGCCAACCTGGGTGATATTGTGTAGCTACTAGTGGATGATTTGTTAGTAATGGTGGGTGGTGGAGATCACCTGGGTAGAGATAGGAATCATTTGATATCCTGCATAGAATACATCATGTTGGTGGCTGGTACGAAAATT